TTTGTCAATGCGTAAAACAAGGACTTCCTAAGTCATATTTCTTTGTGGTGAATGGACTCAACTTCTTGCCATTACTCCTCCACTCCTTCAGTCTAATCGAGCAGTCTAATCGTCGCCTCATATACGACGGCAGTCGATTTTGGACAACTTCAAGCCAATCCCTAGAATATTGCATCCCTGCCATCTTCCATCAGCTAACATGGTTTGCTGGATGAAGGTTTTGTGGTTAATGTAGCATAAAATCATTTATTCTGCCTACCTTGTCATGCATCCTTTAGCCACTTCTCATCCTCCATAACTTTTGGTGTATCAGCAGATCGTTTGTGCAGAAATTGGAAGGATCTTGAGATCCTCCTACACCTCAAACTGATTACTTTTAAAGGATTTTTGAGATTCCTGTATAGCACCTTAAAACAGCCTTTTTTCTCATACTCAAAAGATGGCGATCTCTCCACTTTGTAAACTCATCTGAGACACTTCATAAGTGTCTCACCTCATCTCACCACACCACTAACACCGATATCAACTGGTCTCGAAAGATGACAGCTTTAGCAGGAGTAAACAAGTACCGAGACTTTTACTTGGCTACATCCTCCACCATCTGTCCTCCAGACTCAAACCAATCAAAATTACTGACAAATTCACCATTTTGGTCCATCTCAATGCCTACAGATAGGAGTCCAAATTTGCGTTCAGGGGCCTTTTTAAGTTGGAAAAACTCTTTAACGCCTCTTTTTAATGCACCACCTACGTCCAGCCTAGCATCAACTTGTTCTGATAATTCTCTTGCAATTATCAGATTAGTTTTTTTTTTACGGATGCACAGTGCCTTTGAACTGCTTCTGGCATATTCCAATGGTATCCTTTTTCCTCGGACTCACAGCATGTTCGCGGCCGCAGCAGCAGCTCACATGCACTTCCTCTCTGCGGCCGCTGCTGCCGCCTCCTTTACTAGCAGTCTACCGACGGTTCAAACCAACACCACTGCCACCTCTACTGCCAACCCGTCCGCAGTTTCCATTACCACGAGAGGGCTTGGGCAGGGCGGCCTTGTATCCTCTCCAGCTGGTCTGGGTCGAAAAGTGCCCTCAGACGCCTGGCTGATGCAATCATCCACAACTACATCAAAATCTGCAGAATCGGGTCGACAAAACTCCCGGTGAGAAAACTACTTTTACTGTGCTTTGTCGTATACTCACACTCGTGTGAAAGGTGATTTACTATTAACATAAAAAAGACCTGAGAAGACAATCATGCTCAGAGTGGCATAAAGGTACCCAAAACTGCGGCAACTGGAGGGCTTGCGTTAATAAATGAATAACTAAGTCAAGAAATTATTTTGCTAAACCCTTCTAACCGGAGTACATATTATTGTGTTGGTTTTAGTGGCCTTGAAAACTTGTACGAGGGTTAATCGTCCACCTAATGCGTCTTTCGAGTCCTCGCATTGTAGTGAAACGGATTCCTTGCAGAAGTCTCGATTCCAAGTGTAAAGCTGTCCGTCTACCACAGACGGAGTGCCATGGTGACCGCAGTATCCAACTTTTTCATCCCTCTACAAGCATTTCATTTTGTGCTCAAGAGTGAGATCACATTTGTGTCTTCTTTGTTAGGCACTTTTCTTTCTCACACCTCATTGCATAATCTTACTTTAGTACCAACAGAGTTTCCTTTTTATGACATTTATAACTTGTTTGCAACTGCATCACTACCTTGTGCGTTGTTGAAACTGTTCTCCTCTTGTTTTTTTTTGGTGCTATGGAGCATCCCCAAGCATTGCGTCATGTCAGATCGTGGGTCTCCCGCATTCAACAGGCGCACATTGCATCAATTTTTTTTTTTTTTGAAGAAAATCGAAGTTACGTACAAGTATTTTGTTGCTCTGGCTTTCATTCAGTTGTTTAGGTTTTGTCAAATCATCTCATTCTATGCATTTCACCCTTCTCCAGTGATGGAGGCAGCAGTGTGTTTCAGGTAATCCTGGAATGACACTCACCCGTCTGTGCCACATATTTCATGCATGCATCACTACTCGTTTCTTGGCTACTTGTAGAGGTCGTATCACCACGCCTTCAAACTGCATCACATCACTTGATTTGGGACGCCAGTTGGTGGGAGGCAATTCATTCCTTCTGAAGTCCACAATAGGACCGGTCTCAATCGCCCTGTTACACCATCCAGCTCGGTTCAAACACCCTACTTACGCTTCACTATAAACTCCTTTTGATTACACAAGGTCCACCAATGTAGACAGTTGTGTTAAGGTGAAATTGGATGATCACTTTGAAATTGTTTTTCACGGTTACTTAAATCCTATCCTCATCACCGTATTTGGTGTGGGTGGTATTACTCAGCTTGACATTTTTGCATCACTGCTTACCATTTCCAGTAATTGCAACTGATGAACTTTATTTTTTTCCTTTTTCTCCTTCACGTTGAAATCTTTTGACATGGAGTTACATAAGCCTTGATGGAGTCGCCCTTCCTCACTCTCTTCCTCTTCAACAAACTTGTCAAGTGGTTCTTGAAGAAGAGATTTTAACTCCACAGAAGGCCGGAATATTCACGAAATTATGTTTGTGCGGGTGTGTGTAAATTTACATGGTTAATTTATGCTAACAATCCACTAAACAAATGCAAATTGTTTGGCTGTGACTCCCTTTTTTATAATTCGTTCACACTTGATAGACTGATGCACTGTGTGTGTGTGTGTGTGTACGTGAGTGCTTTTGTTTGCAATTTCAGTGATGGCAAAAGTGTGACAGGTCTTGTGTTTGGTTGACGTTACAGCTGGACTTCATTGCATATGCACACACACACACACACACTAGGAGGAGGAGGAGGATGGTTGTGCACCACCCACAATTGCGCCTGCATTGGTGAATTGGTTCGTCCGTGAATTCCACACCTCCATGTTAACCATTCAGCCTTGAATAGGTAATTAATCATGCACGCAGATGTATATCTAGGCACGGTTTTAGCACCTTAAGTCATCGTTGAGGCTGTAAAGTAGCACATCAATCCGTTTAGAGGGCTTGTTACTCGATCACCAAACCGCTGTGGAGATTTGGACGCAAGGATCGGACACCTAGACGCCAAGAGGATGACTTAATCGCACCAAAGTGAACGCTTGGGTAATTCCCTCTATTGTCACAATGCTTAATTAGCGTTCATTGCGTTTTCCCTACCCTGAGTTTCACCATTGGTAGCAATACACTGTAGACGTCTTGAGGACGAATTCTCTCCTTGCTTTCATTCTTATAGTCAAACAATAACCCAATTTACGTTTGTTGAAGAGAAAGTCCAACTTCATTTTTCCATTTTTCTCCACAGTAGATCCGTTCCAATAAAGTAAATGGTAGTTTTTGCTCAGAGGTCCACCTCGTTCCCCTTGGCTGAATGGGTTTTATTTTCTTTCCTAATCTCGCGGTATGGAAGAGAAAAAGGACATCGGACAACCGTAAATGAGAGTAAGAAGCAAAACTGAAGCGGAATGGTACTTAAAATTGAGTAAAATGATCCTTTAGGGAGGGAAAAAAAGGGACCACCCCAAATCCCTGTCACCCTCGTGGGACTGTAATTCCTACTCCTTATTTTCACTCATGTCCTGCCTTATGAATGTTTTCCAACTCCTGCTGTGGACACTATCAACGACGCGAACGGGCGACATGCTTACCACCATATGAGTTGAGCTTTGTACAGAGGAATGAGCACGTGATTTACTTGACCCTTTTCCTAAACGGTGTAACAATGACAATGGAACATAATTTTCTCTCATGCTAACTTGACAACTAAAAGTGGGACAATTATGTAACACACGTGTTTCTATGGCTTCATCGACAACTCCTGGCTGAACACTGCTGGGTCAGGTGGAAAAGGAAGTGAAGATAAATTTAGCATCCTTAACTCGTTTATCACTGTGTCATGCCAGATTCGTAAATTTATTGCTACTTAATTGAGTGATGGCAACGGTATATTAAGTGCCGCGGAAGTGGGGAAACTAAATTGCAACTATAAGGGCAATAGCAGTGTTTGACACTTCAATTCCGTTATCCTCCTTTAGTAAGCCTAACTGTGACCCCGAAACAACGGCATCCTCGCCTCAGGATGAGGTGTCAAGTGAGCCTGATGGTGGCCGGTTGCTTTCCCGACTGAAGAAGGCTCATATAAAGAAGCCACTAAACGCTTTCATGCTCTTCATGAAGGAAATGCGTCCACGAGTGCAAGAGGAGTGCACATTGAAGGAGTCTGCAGCGATCAATCAAATTTTGGGCAAAAAGTGGCATGAACTCTCACGTGCTGAGCAGACAAAGTACTATGAGATGGCAAGACAGGCAAAGGAACTTCACCAGCGTCTCTACCCAGGCTGGTCGGCGCGTGATAACTACGCCTATCATGCCCGCCGGCGCCATCGTCGCAGCCGACGACCTTTTACACATCATCGCTCCTTTGTCCACAAGCCGACCAGCAGTTCCAGTACCATCAATGCTGCTTCTAAGACGTCTCCTACCGGTCGACTGCGGTCCTCCAGTTTCCACGAAGATCGAAAGGCACTAGAGCTTCCCCAAAAGGTTCTCGAGCGCCCACACTCCACTAATGATGTTTATTCACCTTCAATAGAACGACGAGTGGCTTCTTCAACACCTTTATCTTCTCCACCTCTTCCTCCTCAATCGCCGGTGATAGTAAACAGGGTATCAGAACAACAACAACAGCAGCAAATGGCAACACATTCTTCACCACCACCTCGTCCTTCACTGCCACCACCTCCACCACCACCATCGCAGTTGCCAGCACACACAGCAGCATTTGTGAGTCCACTGCAAGCGCCATCTCAACCACCACCACAATCTCTTGCTACACTGTCTAGACCGACACCCAATCTTGCCAACAATACGTTGACAATGTCAGCGTGTTCTGCATTTGAACATCACTACAATCAAGCCATGCATCATCAGCAGCAGCAACAACAAACACATCCTCAACAGTTGTTGCAAATGCCATCTCAAAGAGCCTTTGGATATTCTCCTTCTTCCTCCTCCACTGTCTCGGCCGCTGCAGTCTCGATGTACGCATCGACACAGGGTCAAGGCAGAGGCGGAACAATGTCAAGATCATCAACAGGGTACTGGGGCTACCACGGTCCACAGACGCCCTCCCATCAATCGGCTGTGGGAATGAAGCGAAATCCCTACCTAACTGCTGCTGCAGCAATGAATAGCGACTCGGTGGCGGCAGTTGCAGCAGTGGCAGCGATGGCGGTGGGTGAGCTGTCTGGTGGGAGTATGAAGAAGTGTCGTGCTCGGTTCGGTCTTGAGCATCAGAATTTGTGGTGCAAGCCTTGTCGGTAGGTCTGCTTCTCAAGGTAAAAAAAAGGCGAAACCGATCATACACCTGCGCTTATTCTCTACTCGGGTTTTTTTTAAGCTTTTTAATTCACTCCCTACTAGCGTTGTTCTTTGAACCCTAACTCGATGCATAACCCTTTATCATGCGGCAAATGCAAGTGAAAGTTAATGGAATGCTTCATAGAACACAGCCCACATGAAGGCAGATAGGAGTTGCTAAAATCAACAGACTTATCAATGATTTTGATGTCGAGATCCTGGAGGAGGGAACTTCATGCTGACCCGATTTGGTCTCTAATTCATCTCAATGCATCAGTATGCAGAGGTAGGTTGTCTCCACCCCTCGGCAGAAATTCGTGGCCAAAATTTTTCATTTAGCCTCTGCACTTTTGCCCTCAATGTCTGTGTAATTGCTGAAGTGCGTTGGTAGACATAAAACAATTAGCATAAGGCAGCCTCTACTGTCAAGAGGAACAAAAGAGATGAGACACGTCCCGACTGTAGGAGGCAGGACCGGTTGAAGAACTATCAAATCACAAGTGAAGATTTACTGGGTGTGTGATAAGGATGCAACAGTATTGAACTTAATGCAAATTATTTCCCTTAAATAAGTGCTCGAAAGGGTTTTGAATGTTTACGGTGCAACCGGTCCGCATTACCTAATGGGGATGCAGTTTGACAATTTCTGAATGCACTTTAATTGATTCAAGTACATGAATTTTGTCTGTCCTATTTATTTTATTTTTTTTTTGAGTGAGTCAAGCGCAAACACATGAGACAAATTGTAACACTTCAAAATCAAAGTAGTTAAAAGTACTTTTTACGCACCGTTTAGGTAGTCACCATTATTTGCACCCTCCATTTGTTTGTCAAGTTGGACACCACCTTACATTACTTGCTCTGCTACTGGAGTTCAAAGGGTGGAGGTATTGAAGGTGTTTAATCGCTTGTAGACGAAAGAAGAAGTGCATCCGCTTCATTTCGGAAAATGAGGTTGATGACTACATGCCACAATACCATCCTTACCACGCGCATTCAGCTGCTGCAGCAGCGGCAGCAGCTGCCGCAGTGGCCTTCAACCACCACCATCATCATCCACACCAACAGCCGCCACCATCTCAGACACCGCATCATCCGTATGGAATGTTCGCGGCGTCTCGTCGACACTCCAATGCCGGTGGTAGTGGTGCTTACTCCGGACTAGCAGAGACCCCTTCTAATGCTCATTTACGAAAACAACCATTTATCCATAGCCCGGTATCACCCTTTGGTAACGGTGTTACATCTAGTCCGCAGCGTCATTTTACACGGCAACCGATTCCACAAGACATTTCCGTCACTGCCGCTGCTGCTGCTGCTGCTGCCAACTCGCCCTACGCGCATCCGTCGCTTGGCAGCAGGTAGTTTTCCAAGGTTGAAACATAAGTAATTTTCTCTATCGATAAGAGTGCTTTATAAACGCCTTCTTTTCAGCTATAAACGACCGTTCCCGATAACATCCACCCCACGGCAACATCATCAGGCGTCAAGAGAGTTTACAAGCGTTTCAAACGCTCCTTACGCAAGTAGTGGCAATGGTGTAAACTATTGGGGATCAAGTTCTCGATCTACGACCAATGCTTCCGCCTCTTGTTTTCCAGGCGCGTCACAACGTTTTTCCGCCTCCGAAATGATAATGTCACAGGGTGACCCGAAGTCCATAGCGCCATTACTTCGGGAAGTACAGGGTTCCAATTCTTCTCCCTCCACCTACCCACCCCCCAAGATGAATAACTTCTCACACACGCAACAGGGTACTACACTGGCGGCCGACACTCCCGCTGTTAATTCAACCTCCACCGCCGCAACTATCAGGTCCACTGCTTCTGCTATCGCCACGAATGGCGGAAGCAATAGTGATCCGGGATTGAAAAGGGAAGCGCCGCCACTAAGTTTTGGGGTGGCCGATGTGATGGGTTTCAGGTCGGGTGAGGAGGGTGCCATACTCAATACAGTGCCCACAGCGACGTCAACGTCTACTTCCACCTCTAATACCGCGGTTTACCGTGGAAACGCCTCACCAAGTACCTCCTCCTGTCCACTTCGATCCTCACCGGAGTTGGAGTAACTGGAGATCTACTACTCTTTCTTTCCTCTTATTTCTCCTTCTCACATGCACTCACGTGGTAGTGATCCGGGTGTGTTCTCCCATTCTATCACTTGCTCTTTTGATGTGTTACCCTACAATCACACCCACAGACATTTCACAACTCCGTGCATGCTCGGTAAACAGGGTTCTTTAGTCACTCCTCGCCTCACATAATGATTTGTACACACATGCATCACGTTAAGCGCCAGGGTACGAGAGTCAGGGAATTCGTGTGTGGGACTCATCCCACCTCTCTCCCTCTCTCTCTCTCTCAATTCTCTTATCTCCTTCCCCATTCCAAGAGTGGCTCCAAACCAGCTTTCTTGCTCTTTGCTCTCTTTCTCTCTCCCCTTCCGTCTCTGTGTATAGTCTGTCTCATTTCTATATATAAATATTATTACTGCTACTATATTATCCTTAGGCAGGAGCCTTCTGCATTGTCTCCTTCAAGAGCTTTGGACGGAGGTGCTCGCGACGCTCCACAGTTATATGCATGTCTTGACTTGAAATCGAGTCTTGGCGCACTGACAGCTCAGTCGTCTCAAAGCAGACTTGGTGCCTGGCACTTGCCTTAGTCTATGCAGGCACACACCACTAGTCGACGCTCATTGTGAAATATTGCATCCTGTACTCAACCTGATTTAAATCAAACGCACCATCGAACTGGCAAGCTAATCTGTCGTTTAAAAACAAAAAAAGGGATCTAACACCAGGCCAGGAGAATTTAAACTCCACTTTGTTAAGGGAGTCACCTAGTTGTGTATCCAGACTCAAGGAAAGCGGATAAACTAGAAGTGCGTGATATTCAGAGCGCAAACACGTAAGTATTAACTCTACGGTTATCTAAGCGCCACAAGATTAAAACTACTGACTGCAGATGATTCTTCACCGCTGATGTAATTGGTCTTATAACTCCGTGCTACCGGCTGGGCAAGCAGCAACCAAGTAGCTGTAAAATGATGGTAAGAAAACCCTGTTAAATCATTTCTCTCCGTAAAAGAAAAGATGTGTTTAAATCAGATAAAGATTAGTAGAGGTAAGACAAATGAGTGGGTGCAGTTTGTACAACTATGAACGGAAAAAAAACGGCGAGCATAATTAGGGTAGAACGAAATTAACGAAGTATGAAAGACACAGGTGCCACACTGTACAGACACACAGAGACGAAAACAGACACACAAGTGAAAAGGAACAGTAAGACATGAAATTAGGTAAATTTGGTGAACACTAGAATGGTGCCAAGGATCATAACGAGGCAAGCCAGAACAAAGATGACGAGTAGTTTCTTATCCCTCTTCTGGTGTGAATCCGCCTTCGTCAACTGTTTCAGGCTCTCCTGAACGCGAACCTGCGTCTGTTCCACATTGTAATCGATGCGGTCAACAAGGGTGCCCTATTAGATAGATTAAAAGTACTCGGAGTTAGAAATCAGTGAGCATTTAACATACAAATAGTCCTCCACAATCACATATTCGTAACAGAGGTCGACTCAAACGTGACTGAAAACATGGCTCCCAGAAAGTAAACGAAACAGTAAATGAGCAGCTCAGTATACTAATTAGTACCAAACTTAATGGAAACGGTAGACGGAGTAGTGGATCATTGAAGATCCGGTAATATAAAACCACTCATCGAAGGTGCAAGTCGCATTTGCAAGAGTACTTGAATAGGCGAATTTTCGTATAGATAATAAAGGACGGGTGGCCCAAATATTGATAATTCACCTGGTCGACAACAAGCTGGGCAACATCACGGAAGATTTCATTTAATTCATGAAGAGACCGAACAATCTGTGTTATTTCCTGCTCCCTTCGCTCAACAGCCTTTGTATTTTCCGCCAGAAGCAATTGGGTCTGATCACCGGTAGGAGGCTAGAAAAAAAACAGGAGAGAAAATATCCAACGACACAAATGACAACTGCAGACTGGTAAAGAAAGTCTATACTTCAAGCAGATCAAACTCAGCTAAACCAGCTACGTCATCGGCAGTAAGTTCGGAGCCCAAAGTCACATTTAAATATCCACGAATCCGTTCATCTCTTGCTTTCAGCTCTAAAAAATGAGACACAATTAGGCATTTTAACTAAAAACCCAAAATGGAATAAAGACTGCGCTAACCGTTTAGATATTGTGACTGAACCTTTCTGAAAGTCAGTGAGAGTTCTTGCAGCGTTCTGGCGAGACAGGAAAGCGCATTAGTCATCAACCTCTCGGGTTGTGCTCTGCTGCTCATCTGAATTTTCCGCTTCAGTGCTGTTAGTTGCGACAATTGGCGGTGACACAATGTAAAAAGCTAAATTAGAACGAGTATGCTAGGACAATGTAAAAAGCTGGGCATTTAAGAATCCAAAATCTCAAACCTGAGTCAGTTCTTTCGTCTGCAGTTCGATTTCTTGATCTTCATCGAGGTTGTCATCCAATTTGGCGGCCATTATGTGACGATCATGTAAAGTTACGAGTTCCCTCACTGAAGCGCATAAGCAGCTATTATCCAAGCCTTACTTTTTTGACGAATGACGGTAAATTGAAAGTTGATCGACTTAACCATGTTTTGCCACTCGTGCAACCCACTATTAAGTTGAGTGGTTCCAAGTTCAATATTAGCAGATTCATCTAGCAATTTCTCCTTGTCTGATGAGCGCTATGGGAAACTGAAGACCTTGATAACTTACGGACTGTAAATTTCCCGAAAAAGTCCTGTTCTGAACAGCATTACTCCGCATAAAAAGGAATGTATCCGTCAGCTTCCTTGCGCCCATAGTTCAGAACTCATTGGATCGAATGACAAATGTGGTTATAAAAGCTGTACCCTTTATCCACCAATCAAACGAAAGGACTGCATGACATCAACAACATTAGTTTGTGTCCAAAATTTTCCCTTAACAGGCTAACTTGTACATGCAATCAACTGTTTCATGCAGTCAGCAATTTGATTTGTTAGTGGATTAAAAAATACAAGATGGAAATCTAAAATATAATTACTGCAAATGGGTGGCATTACAGCACATTTTATGTCTAAAATACTGTAAATGCATGCCATATATAGACTTCGTCTTGAGCACTCACGATGTTTACTTTGTTGAACAGTGCCTGATGCACTCAATTGCTCACTTAGGTCTTGTGATAGCGAAGGTCGAATTGTGTATGTGTGTGCTGTGCGAGGTCATAGTGCTCCACGATGTTCATGATTTCGATGCTTTCAAGACCAGCATTCCGAATCTTTCTTGGCGATACGATTTCAATTGCCCCGCTAAGAAGTATTTCGCGAATAGTTCTTTTGGGGCATATAATTAAGCCTGGGGAACTTCGAGACACTAATCGTCACGTCATTCTGCATCAACCTCTAAGATCTAAGGGTAGAAGCAAAGTACGAAGAGATTCAGGTACTAAAGATTATTTCGTCACTCGCTTAAGTTAAGATTGTTGATTTGACGGATGAATTGAGGCAGAAAATCAGGGAGGAAGAGATGATACAAGAGTACGCCAAAGTTGTGGCCCGTTTCAAGGATGATCTTTATCGAAAACTCTGTCTCAAATTGACCCCAGAAATACTTTACAGTATTCCTGTTTGTCTTTTAAAAGCCTCTCATAATAGGCTTGATGGCTTCTTACCTTTGATCTCCTAATATTTAGATCCCGGGTGAACGTATACGTTTGGGTGAGGTGGCCACCATCACCAGTCATACTTCGGTCCAATCGTCCAATGTTCAACCAATCTCACAGATCCTAATCGATCTTAGCGGTCGTCCGGATTTGGTTACGGGTGCGAAGTTGGCTATCTCCCAATTCCTGTCCGAAGATGCGGAACTACCATCCTCTAAGCGGGCAAAGGCAAGCTCCTATTCCGACCTGATTCAGGACATCAATCAAACGCAGTTCACAGTTCGGCTTAGAACCCTCGTCACCGGGGATGTCCGTCATGAACTCAGCAGAAAAGGTAGCTCTCCACGTCAATTTGTCAATCATTTGCACACGATAACGCTTCAAATCGGCGCTTCAGACTACATAGATAGCATGAATTTTTCACTAGAGAAGTGGCTCATTGCAAAACTGGTAAATCCACGCTAGTAAATGAAATGCACGTGCTGGTATGCGCCCCCTACCGATTCTACTCTGTGACCTGCTATGTTCACTTCGGCTCGTGGACACAAACATTGACTCTGAAATTCCACTGCTCTTCTGCTTGCCTAATCTCTGAACTTTAAGTTTCCAGCCTATACTGCACCGTTGTTTATCCAAGGTTGGGACATGCTTCATCAGACCAAGAAAGAGATGGACAGGATTTACCAGAGGTTCTCGAAATCAGTCGCTGCTATGAAGTCCCTCTCCGAAGACGACAAACGCGTAGCCACCGAGCACCTGAAAACGGTAGTCAAGGCCCAGCATACAGCAGTCGAACAGGTGTGGAAAGCCAAAGAGGAGGAACTACTCAATGCGTGAGGACGATTGTGCAGTACACTAAATCTGCACTTCCCCCAGTACCATCTGTCTTTATGCCCCAACGTTACCATTTGTGAGAGTAAGACCATCAATAAGGCGGTAAAAATAGTCTATTGTGCTAGGACGAAGGTTTCAATAAAGTTGGGAACGTAATCCGTCGCTCTGCATACCACTAGTGCAAGGGGGACATTGCGAAATGTGTATTTGCGATTTTAGCAAACAATAACAGTAGGGTAATAAAAGGGGGAATAATCAAGGCGGTAGTACTTCGTAATTTATAAAGCAAAGGACAACCAAGCGAGGATGAGAGTGACGCCACCGACAGGGGCGATGCTCACAAACCTACTGTCATTCGAGAGGGCGGTGTAGTAGCAAGTCCCAGAGAACAAGATAGTGCCGGTCAGAAGCAGAGAGGTCGTCTAAATCGTAATTTAAAAGAGGAGGCGATTACCAGTTGTGGGAATCTGGAAGAACGTACGCCCAATAAAGCCAACGAGTGTAGAATGTGGATGTCTGCACCACTTTTAAAAGTGCGGAGACGCTCCTCAGATTTTGTACTATTTTGAAAGCCTAAAAGCAGTCAACTAAATCCAAATAAGGTCATGCCATGTGCACCGTAAGCTAACGCAGCAATCGCTGCTGCTCCAAGCACACCGGCCAGTTTAGCATGTGCGCCACCGGTTGATCGAATAGGAACTTCCACTGTCTTTTCAACAATTTGAGTCACAGGCCAGGTGATAAAACGATACACCGCCCTCAGAGTATCCATTATTTCAAAAGATGCGCGACTTTTCGCGTGTCATAGATGTCCGGATAGAGTTAAAAACTTTTTACATTCAGTAGTAATGAGCTGGATAATTTACACCTCAAAAGAAGTCAAATTTAACACGCACAAGACACCAAAATGGATAATTTTTACATAAGTGGAGCTTGCTCTTCTTAGTGATCCAATAAACGGTTTGGGCAACTGGTACTGTCCAAATAGGTGTAACAATGGTAGTTTAAAAATAATCAAATAAAGTCATTAAAGTATTCCTCTTTTAATTTTACCCAGATTCTATGTTTCTTTACTGGTACGGTAGCAACGACATAATGACATCGACGAAGCGTCCGGAGGCTTCGCTAAGTCGAGGAAGGCACTAGGTTGGGCCGAATGCATGCGTTCTAGAGGGTGAAGAAAGGATTGGACTTTTGCTTAGCCCAATGGCCAACTCACGTGCAAATGAGCGGGACGAACAGCAGTGCGACTGCCAAGCCACATAAACAAAATATTGCAACTCGCTGCAAGTAAAAATGGATTAAAGTGTGTACGGTAGCATCTTTTAAGGTTTATTGTGAGCAGAAGGGTATTGGCATATTGGCTACAAACTGCAGAACGTTAAATGCATAAATATGCTATTGCAAATCAAGTTATCTCTCCTACCATTGACAATGGGTTTCCTGATCAACCAGTTAAGGCAGTAGTGCTAAGAGAACATTATTGAGGTTAGTAGTATTTAACTCAAACTGGCTGCGAAACAAAGGAGATTCGAAAGTGTTTTGAAAGTTCGGGTAAACCGCCACAATAATGCTAGCTACCATGTATTCCTCCCCATCCAATGGTTCGGAACAAGTTGTAAATGAGAGAATTATTGGACCCACTTTTGCAAGTGCTTGTGCTATGCATCCTAACTATGGCTTCAGCTGTATGTACCTCCCAGTGAACGACCACCCCTTCAGCCGTGACGTTATAGGTGACCAATACAATGGCAACTTTAATGGGCGTGACTCAGTTCATAGGACCAGAGAGGATAGGTTTATGGCAAATTGGCTCCAAGTTCTTTAGAAATGAGGAATCTTCTTGTTTTCATACGAACTCCTATGAATTATAAAAAAATTATTTTAACAACTTTGGTATCTGCTCTCTTGTACTCGACTGATGTACAAATTCTATCAACCTAAAATGCTTTCATGGTGGATAAAAGAAGCTTATAAATGAAGGTGTTAAAGCCACACCTAGTCATCCTTTTTTTGTTCTGATTAAAAGAATGGCTTTAAGTGGATAAATAATCACCCTATATCAAAGAGCAATGCAGCTATATAAGCGCACCACCTGCGCGCCTAGTCGCTGAGATCTCATTGCTTGCAAGTGAAGTATGTAATCCCCCCTTAAATATGCTATGAAATCACTTAATACTCTAGACGCATGCCCAATTCGCTCTCATTTTGCGTGCAAAATTTCGTATTATACGTGATTTTTCACTTGAATCTCAGTGCTGCCGGGTTGTGCATTGTGTTGTAATAAGCTGTGTCAACAGAGCACGACATTGTTAAAAGTCAACATAACCGAAAGCATGTGGATACCAGAAACGCACCGTTAAGCGAGTGTCAAAGCCCTGTAGAATACGCGTACCGCATCTGCGTGGTTAAACTTTCCAATCCTATATGATAATGACTGTGTCTACTGCTACTAACTGCTAGTGACATTGGTCAATGTCAGAAGGAGTGCATTCCAGTTTCCATCCAAACAGAACGGATGCATATGCATAGTCTTGTCATTGCATAAAAATCGAAAAAGTTGAAGCTATTTAGTTATTGATGACACACAAAAGGCCTAGCATCTCTTCGTTGCTTAAAAGAGTAGATGTTCGGATGGATTATCTGATAAGAAGAAATTTAAATATGATATGACCACTCGACTCAATGCCTCCGTACCAACTCGGATCTGAAATCTCCTTTAGTTAGTCAGTGTGCTACTGGCCCATGCAAATACCTTGCTTATGCTTATTTAGTTAGGAACGATTCTCGATACTAAAAACGAACTTGCAGCGAAATAAGTGAGGTGATAATCGAAAACATTTTAAAAGCTCAACATCTTACAGGTTGTAAAATTCACTACCAAATGTATATTCTACGGGTGCAAGCGGAGGTGGACTTCTGGAAGGCAAAATGACACGTAAGGAGTGATAAGGTATCGCTTAACGCAAATGCCATTTCTGCCGTGATAGTAGGTGGTGGGTGAAAATGAGACCCTTACAATCACTATAATTAGTGCGACGAGAAGTCTATTTATAGTCATGTCTGATCCAGAGAGGGAACAACTGATTTCAAGAGATTAATTATCGTGCCAATCTGTGGTGATAATTGCCTGAATTTATTGCCTAACTTCTCATCCTGCACTGATAACTGCATTCGTACGATTGAAGAGAGTAATAAAGTTCAATAAATTCCTCACCTGTGTATGTCCTCAGCAAATCTGTATGATTGAGGCAAAAACTTGACTACTTTCTGTGTGCCATGAGTAATATTAGAGTGAGTAACTATGTCTACCGCAAAATTAGACACAATTTAAGGCATATTTTAATAAGGATTTCTTGTATGCAAGGGTCTCGCAGACCAGCGGCACGTCTCCTCTCGACTTACAACAGCTCTTTGTGCCATTTCTTGTTGTTTGCGGATCGGTGAAATGAATAAAAAAGGTCTAGACGCAGAGTGTGAATCACATAAGAATGATATTGTAATATGTACCGATGTTTAAGCTATCCTCAGAGGGAGTCGTTAAGCAATTCGAACACGAACCCAGTTCGTGAGGTACGCAAAAACACACCCGCGAGTGACGTTGGCTTATTGTCTCAACGACACTCCTATTCCCTTCATTTCAGTGAAAAATGTCAAATAAACCTTCTCCAACCACCTCTCTTATGAAGTCAGAGGTTCAAGGAGGTAAGCGCAGGTTGAGATGTCCTACAGATACATCCTTCTTAATTTTGAAAAGTGGCAGTCAAGTTGGTCAGTTTAGCAGTGAGTGCTGCTGACACAGTGAACGACTAAAACATCTGGGGGTCTCAAAAGGTTTAAGACTTTGAGAAACATCCTCACTAATTTCGCAAATATAAGCACGAAATTAGCGACAATCAGCACTCTTTACACTTCATTTGAAGTAGATCACCTCTATAGGCAATGCACAAATCGCGTAGAGTTATGAATACCTTTAACTGATAAATTTTTTCAACCCAACACTCACAAGGTCAAGTAATTGAATACCCAGCAAGTCGAGAATGCTGTGATTTACTTTAAAGGCAGAAACGCCTTCACAATTCAAATGGCACCCTCAATAATGAATTTGTTTTAACGAAAGCGAATGCATGCATATGCACGTTTCAGTTACATAGTATGTCGCATCAACCTTTCCGGTTCTCTGCTGTAGGGTTTCCCTCATGGTGGCATAGACGCCTGACAATGCCTCTTATCCCACTGGTCCCGGAGCACCTCGGCAGAAAAGAAGGCCATCTCCCGACACCCAGGACTTAAGACGCTCTCAGCGACAATCCGAGGACTACAAAGGGATGAATCATTGTAAGACAGTTCGTAAGTGCAAATACAGTTATCTTGGACAAATGATATTCACTAGATTTCATTAAGCTTAAAAGTAGCCGAACGTAGTAGCCGAGTGATTTATCAATTAAGTAAATAAATAATATGTTCGTTCCCAATGCAGTATTTCAAGGTGTCGCATTCTTGATGAAGGAAGAAATGGTAGTGCAGAGCAAACCAGAAGTACCTCCACCATTGGCGCACAAAGAAGTCGGGAGGCCAACAACACAAACGCGTGAACTAAGGCTACCGCCAAAGCTGAACTTCAGAAAGCCGAGAAAATCGGTGCATCTGTAAATCCCGCATGCGATAGCCACCAACCCACCAAACCAGCAATCATTCCATTTGTGATCGTGTTTACATCTGTTTCTAACCTCCCCTCTTTTCGTGGTAATAGAGGTGACGTTGAATGAAGACACGTTCCAACACGCACGCCAATGATCGGTAGGATGTCCCCATCGCCCCACACCCAATAACCCTAATTTACGGCGTCTTGCAATTCCTGCGTGGTATTCAGACTGCTACCACTGTCAAAGGTACACAGAACAGATCTCTCAGCAGGCGTCGACCACATACAAAGCATCGATTTCGCTACAAAAAGCATTATTTCTCCCTCTCCCACTCTGTCACACCTTCACAATTAAACTTCACTACCTTCCCCCGCCCCATCACGAGCGAAAGTGAGGGGAAGGTATGGGATGAAGACACGGTCCATTCAATTTTCGTTTGTATGGTAGACAAAATGCGGACGTGAGTGAATGAGAAACGATGCACGAGGAGCACCTGGTGGTGTGTTTTTAGCATCATCTAGAGGGGGGCACGGAAAAGCACGAGCACACAAAGAGTGTATGACTAAGTACAAAGAGGGAAGTGGTGAAATAAAATGGAAGGACAAGAAACCGCACACAATTGAGCCGCCAAACAACTGTCGTTTAATTTGTGGAACCGGTGCCGAAGTAGCGATCCCCAAAGTTTCCGATCCCGGGAAGGATATGATAGTCGTCCGTCAGTCCGGGATCAATAGCAGAGGTCACAATGTGCGCCTACAAGGGCAGTAGGTCAAAGGTAGGTACTGTGTTGCAACGTTGGTAGCACAGAGCCCTGCCCATTCCTGTACGTTGCTAATACACTAACTCCCAGACTATGATGACTCATGTCTGCGACGTGACAGTACGTCCTACTGCACGGATCTGCCTGAAGTCTTGTGCTTCGGCTGTCACTTTGGTGATGCAAAACCCTACTCATGTCATTCGTGCTGTTGGACTCCAACCTCGTACAAAGAACTGCTTCCAGACTCGTGTGTATTATAACGTCTTTAAAGAAGATGAGACTTACATTAGGATATGTGTAGGCAACAGAATGGACACCTTGAATGGCCATAATAAGCGAGATAAGAATGATGTGATCCTCGGGCACATCGTGATCCACCAGGACTCGCATCGCCATAATGGCCGCCGCGCCGGACGCTACCGTAGAGTCCATTAATATCACGTAGCAGTCCTACATAAACAACAGATAGAAAAAAGAACAGCGTGCAGTAGGCACATCTCCATTTTTAACTCCATTTCTGTTCGCATATTTGATTGACAAAATTACGGAACTGTGGAAACCTACACAACGATTTCTTGATGGTGGGAAACATTGGCTTCTACTAAAATTTGCACTTGAATATACTAACCTCTCACTTTTTGAATGGAATGACTGTTACTAGAACGGCTTTAGTCCTAGAATTCTACGAGGAGAGTTCGAGTTGCACACAGATGGCATCCAAAAGCAAATTTTCAGCTGATTTGTATAGCTAAGTAAAAAACCCTAAATGCCACAAAAAAAAGAAGTTCTGGCTAGCGTCAGAATCTGGGAACTTATCGGAACACCTCAACCTCATATTTGGCTCCTGAGGTGAAGCCAACTTTGAAGGATTTGACAAGGCCCGTTTCAGAGCTGTCTGAAATGTTCTGAGACAAGCAAATCACTGAGCAAATTATTTCACTCCTAAATTGCCAGTGAATGAATGGAAGCGAGAGTAACTAAGGTGTTGAAGAGAGAGCATCGTATACGGGTTTTGCATTGAATTTTTTACAGTAAATAAAATGAAACCTTTTATGCAATTCAAAAGCAGCAAACCTTGTTAGTGGGAGTCCTGGAGGAGTAAAACATCCAAATCCGAGTGAATCTACAAGATGCAGCATCAACAATCCTGTTCAGAAACTGTTTTTAAACAGCAACTAGACGATGCTGACCAACACAGACGAACAATTACTCGCAGCACCGAGGAGGATTCACAAAGAGCTGACAAATGTGACACTATGGCACCTGAAGTTAACAGCGAGCGAAAAGAAGTTGCATCCACACTCACAACGAGGTCTAGACTTCAAGCCTTAGGTGGCAAACAACAACACGTTAAGAATGCAAAATTCAGAGGTTTTTAGATTGGCCTGTGTTGATCTCTCGTAAAGATGGGCCAAGCCACAGACAACACGCCAATCTCAAATCGTGCCCAAAGCGTGAGAATGAAAATGCGGTAGAACGTAACAAAGTGTAGTCTGACTCGAGTCCCATCAAACGTTTTCTCCATTTAACTAAAAGTAACAGATCCTTCAGCCCAGCACGTCAAGCTACCAACTTACTACGACCGTTGGCACATCTCTTAGCGTTCAAATAAAAGACAGCAGAAGTTATAGATGGCCATTGGAATTGAAGGTAGAATGAGATACCAGTTAACGGGAATGCAATGAACAATTGTCACCTTTAAGGGAGACGTAACAGGACCGAGCTGTTCAAATTCGATCAAGTACAATTGACGAAGGCTTTCAGCATTTCAGTATTTGCTAGTACAGCACGAGGTAATGCAATAAAACGAAGGGAATCTAGTAATTTAGTAGAATTAGAAGGGGCCTTCGGAGAATGGAACTCTAAAGTTTATCAGTGGCGCCTTCTTCAGTAAATGTGTTATCACTAGCAAACTGCAACTACTTGCCTAGGGAAACACCCATCCGCCATTTCAAATAACCAGATCCGTACGTAGGAAAGGCGCCTGAGTCAGATTTTACACGCATAGAGAGGAGTGCTCGCTCCTGGAGCGGTGATGCGTGCAATATTAAGTGGCATGTGGGTCTTTTAAACCCACACTTACAATAAGCCACCGCAAGCAGTTAATCGGAGTGATAGACAGCAATGGAAGCGTGTGGATGGAGTAGCGAGTGGAGAAGAAATCTATTCGCAACTACAAAAGACCACATTCGCCTGGTGATGGAGCGCTAGGCCCAGCAATTACTCCAAAAACGCACAAGACACGGAACACCCAAACTCAGAAAGTTAGCCCACAATCCATGTTAGAAAATAGCGCAACAGACCAATCTCCCAACGGAGAAACGACTCCGACAGCACGTATCAAAATTGAAGTAGGATGAACCTTTCATCCACCAACCGCCCACATTTAGGAGGACACTGGCACAAAGAAAGCTAACCTTAATGTCGCTTGGCAGACGCAGGTAATGCAGCTCTGGTTCAAGCGTCTCGGGATTAGTTTGGATGAGGATTTTTCCCAGTCGCACGTCCTTGCACACCGCCGTAAGCGAGGGTTCAAAGGCTTCGCCAGCGCGTAAAATTGACACGCCACAAATCTGTGTGTTAGGAGCCAGGCGACGACCGTGGTAAGGAATGCCCTGCGGTGTGTCGACCACCACGTCCTGTAGAAGCCAGCCACAAAAAAAATGAGATATGCAACTAGATTAACTACCATCCAATCCTGTCGAATCAGGCACGTGGTTATGATGAGCACCTAAAAGTAGGCTGAAGCACCTCCCCATAACCTAATTTTGCACAAAAATTACCTCTATGAAAGGCAATGGAGGTAGAAGAAAATTCCAACGTCGGACGGGCTTGAGTATTGGGACCGGATATTATCCCACAGCAATTTCACGTTAAAAAAAATCAACATTTCTGCGCTGAACACATAGAATGGTAAAGATGGCCCTCTCGACACGCCCCAAAATACTGGGCACGTTGAAGAACAATGTCACCTTATCTCGAGTCTCGAAGCCTAGGCCTTATTATCCATAAACCTCCAGAGCGTGTCCTTTGCCAAAAGTCATCGAAGCTCCTTCAAATGTTCGTACTCTTTGTTGACAGACTTCGACACGTACAGCAATTTCAGTATTTCCGTCCATGCATAAGAATTAAATTATATACACTTTGCTCTAACTAGTAGCAGCATCGACTTGAAAACCAGAAAAGGGCTGATTTTGTCGAAGTCCCAAAATAAACGCGGATATGGTCATAACAGTCTGCCTTTCCGCCTTCCTAATTTCCAACGGATTCATAAAATACTAAAATGGAGTTCTATGCGAGCAATACAAATGATAAGGCCAGCAAATGAATGTGCAAGTCGACTGAATTCTACAAACATTCATCGCACTGGAGAGACTTGGTAAGACCTACATGACTGATTATCGCACGTCCTACTCCACTCTCTCATCGGTTCAAACGCCCACGCATGGACGTCTGCATTTTAAACTTTTTGGAAAATATTCGCATCTGCGGCATTTGACACTAACTAGTAGTCACCCTATAAGGCAGGAGCCGACAAGCGAATTCACAAATGGGCCGCATGAGCCTCTCCGCATAGAAGACAAAGGCGTCCTGATTGGTATTTCGATCTCGCAGCAGGGTATGCAGACATCGTGCCTCGGGAGTGAGTGGTAACACGTTGACTCGGGGAGGGATGATGGAAGGATCGAGGGATGCCTCAAGGAGACCATCGACAGTGCTATCGCCCCATGGAAAAGCTCCTCCCGCTGTTGGTGTGTCTGGTGAAGAGGCGGACTTCTCGCTACCGATTCCGCATGATCCTGTCTCTCCAGACGTCGAAACAGCCGCCACGACTGATGTGTCCGCGGATCCATTAAGGCGAAGTTGACTAAAGGATTGGCGCAGACCGTTTGCCTGCTCCGACCGGAGGCGGTGTGAATGCTAAAAATGCGAAGCGTTGTACATAAAACTGTTTTCGCCAACGCTGGAGAAAAAAACATCCAACAATGCTAACCTCCTTCAAGTGCCTCTCCACAACCCGAACGATTAAATCTATTGCCACAGCATTCTCACCGCCTACAGAGAGATAAGGAAGATTAGCTAACTTTTCCGCTCCAAAAGTAAAGCATCGTTGTTATCTCTAAGGGCTAGTTGTGGATATATATCTAAGGAATGCACCCCCAGGAATGATGATATCAGCCATGGACATGGTAGGCGCGATGTAAGTATCGTATGCCGGTTTCACAGTGGTGTCGTACTGGTGGAGAATGTCAGGAATCTGCCTTCCACGACAGCACAAATCACGAAGAAGCCGCCGAGATAGACGCTCGTCCGAATCCGTATCAACGAAGATTTTGAGGTCCATCAACTAAGTGAAGGTAAAGGTAAGCACAGCCGTTATTACTCCTTACATAACTCTATAAATAGCCTGAGAGATCATGTCGTCATATTCAACATACTCTTCCACATGGCCTCAATAAAAGTATGCATACTTTTAAATGACTAACCAATGGACCGCAAAGCGAGTGATTAGGACTGCTGAACAAGGCAAGTTCTAGTAACAAGAATTTGCCCTCGCCTACGGTGCTTATCGACTAAGTCAATGGAAAAAATGGCAAAACAACCGTTTTGTACAAAGCAGTGCTGGCCCAAATGCGGTCGATGCACAAAACGAAGTGTAAAATTAACGAAGTCTATCCGTGCAAGGCATGTGCCCCCAACTCCTGAGAATAGCTCAGCTCTCAATAAAACAGTAGGTTCGCATAAACCGTGAGTTTATGACATACCTTAGTTAGTTCGGGATAGCAGAAGGCCATGATCCCTTCAAAGATAACCACGTTGGCGCCGTAAAGAGTTCGCTGGAATTTAGGCATGAAAAACAACAGATGATCATGCATGTGCTGAAGTATTGACATCGACAGCATCGTCCATGGTATTTTGTGGAAGTGAAAAATGCATATCAGATCATTCGCTTGGACTACGAAACAAAAAGTTGAAGACTTGCAAAACATGATGGAAAGCGTACTGTGAGTACAGATATTACTGGCCCAACAGTGAAAGAAACCCAAACTCCAAGTCAGGTTAATTAAAGCATGACACTTAAGGCGGTTCAAAAGACCATTGCTAGTGGGTCTATGTGCATTTCTACTGCAACATTGCCCCTGAGCCTCTAGTCTTCTAACCCCTTATTACGTCCATAATCAAGCGAGTTCAATGGTCGTGCCTTGTAGCGTCTTCAAAGATAACGCAAACAACACAAATGAGTCCAATTTGAAGGACACAAGCGCAATGGTAGAAACTGAAGCAATTCATAGGAGCCATACCGTTTTAGCGATACGAGAATGCGTGGAAAAGTCGTACTCCGGGACCTGAATACTCTTGCCCTCCTTCAAACGAGAAAGATGATCAATAAGAAGCTTAATGTCGATTGCCGAGGGATGATCAAAGTCGTAGCGACCCTCTTTTGCCAATTGCTGTTCCTCCGCTGAGAGTACCTGTTTCGTAGAAAAAACAGCGTCAAGTGCCGCCCTCGCAAGAGTGAAGTGACAAAATCATACCAAATCGGGATGCACTCGCGCATTCTCAGTTGCATATTGTATACGAAACGAAAAGCCCGTAAGAAGCATTAAGAGAATCACTAAGTCACAAAATTGATTTGCTCAAGCCCCGAATTCTCAAAACACATATGCGGGCTAATCACTTGATTCATTAATTGGATATTGTCAATGCGCTTAGACTGCATAACTAAAAGAGCGTAAATCACAAAACCAGTAGATGACCCAGAACACAACCGGGGCACACAGTAAAGCGAGGTTGCGTCAGCATTTTTTTGTATAACAGCGGGTGTTCGCAAAACCCCGAAATGATACAGATGGAATTCATAATTGCACATTCTAACATGCTAATGAAACCAGTAAATAGTGAATGCGCAGAACAGTCTCAATTCAAGGAAGAAAGTGGAGTTAACGCTGTTCTCATTTTCAGCACCCTACTCACCATATCGGTGAAATTGAAGCAAATAGTCATGATTTACAGCGCACTCTCGATAAATTTGCTAAGGCAAGTGAAGTTCCTGAGCAAAAAACCTTGAAGATGGTTTCGTAGGTAACTCACGACCGAGACAGAAATTCTCGAAACGATTGTAATCGTTCCTAGGACAAATAATGGAGACTTGGTGACCCGATGATAAGGCAAAGACGATATATGTGGTTAGCCTGGTTACTCGCGTACGAAATTATTGCCCTACCCGGTAGGAATGACTTTGGAATTAAAATAATGCGGAACTGAATAGCTTAAATTAAGGAGGTACCTGCACATCAAAGTGGTAACTGCTATTTCTCAATCCAAAAGATTCATCTTTGAAGCACTCGATCAAAACTCCTAAATCAATGCAAGTTTGTGTTGCAGAATCGTTCAAACACCATTGCAAAGGAAATCAATACACTAAGAAAAATACTCCAACAAAACTGACTATACAAGTGACCAGCCATTCGAGATGATAATATGAAAAGAAGGCTTGAAGATCTAAACTGATGCTTTATAAAAAACAAACACTAAGATCCTCTAAAATATCAAGACCTTTCGCAAAAAAATGTGCAAAGTGTTACCTTGTAATAGGAATCCATGCTGAGCAGACTGACCCAAGAAACGTTAAGCCTCTCGATAATTTTTTGGGCCACAGTAGTTTTGCCACTACCAGATCCACCGCAAATGCCAACGACAAAGCATTCGTCAATTTGGCCCTCACGCGTGTACCAAGGTGGTCGACCTCGTGTAAAAACAGTGCGCCCACCCACCCGCAAAACGGGATCTGGGGCGTTCCAGTCTGAGGACAGAAGTCGCACTCGTTGCCGCTAATAAAGAAGAATGGTGCGTATAATAATAGCATGACGCTTACAATAATGTTCTTAGGGAACCAAAACGCCGTTTTACGGCCCTACTTTAAAAGGGAAACCCACAAATTAATCATGACATTGATCAGTGCTTACTGGAATGGCCTCAAAGTCCGCCTTAACTGGCGACGAAAAGCCTTTGCTAAAAAATTAAACCAAAGTTAATTAAGAAAAAAGGCAAAACAATCTAACAGTCCAAAAATAAACCCACCAATTCTCAGCGTCAGACTCGTCGGAAGAAAGCATGTTAGGTGAATACAGATTGGAGATTTCAACCAACGCTCCAACTATTTTGGTGAGATGTAACTGGCTCAAATAATCAAATTAAATGAGGAAGCCTATGCAAACAAATGAATGCAAGTTAAAAAAGGGAGCAGATAATATTATTGCCATGGACCCAATTTGAAAATGTGAGAAAATGCATCGGAATATGCAGAGGTTAATGCAAGGATGTAGTGTAGTAGGGCTAATTCGGCATTTTTGTGAATGCGCATGTATAATCATGCCTAAGTGTCAGCTACCAGCGGTCGTGTCTAGCGAGTCATTTGACTTAGGCCAAGAAAGCGTTGAGCCACATATTCGTTGGTCGCGCCGTCTGTCTTCACTTTCGAACATCTTGACCACTATAGGCTGATACATCCCAAGGCTACCATAGAAACAGAGTGAAATGGATCTTGCATGGCTTGCATGGCGCAGTTCTGTCCCTTTTCGAAAACTACGCTTTAAAGAAGCCATACTTATCGGTCACCATTCAGAGGGCTTGGCCAAGGTACGTGTTTGACCAAATAAGACATTGGGCTCGAACGCTGGCTCTCCAGAAAGGGAAAGGTTACTTTCAGGGCGCCCTACACTCACAAGCAGCTGGGAAAACCGTATTACAATCGACTCCTATTTTAGGTGGTAATTTAAGCATCAATTTATTTTAGAGACTCTGTAAAAGCTAGATTTTACGTGTTCGAGTCCTTAATTGTAGCGTCCCGAATTTTCCCATAGGGTAGGAGAAGACGTAAGTGAGGTTGAACACATATGTTCCAAAGACGACAGAACAAATGGGCTTGGACATCATCCGAAGGCTAACCCACGTGTACAAGGGTTAGACAAGTTCTAAAGTGACCATTAAACGTCAGACAGTCGCATAAACAAAGCATTTCACCACCCCTACCTCCTTTTGAGCCACGCCCTCGGCGCTCCTCCCCCCCCCCTTCTTCGTACACCTCCCGCATCAGCCATCACAACATATTCGGTAATACAAGAAAGCACCCACGAGTCAACCGTACCAGTCCACAGACAGCATGAGACTGAGGAACCGTACCTGGTCTCCTCAGCAGCTTCAACTGCATCTGAATTTGCGTTCGGTCTGACAATCGGATTGGAGGCCGCATACATCTGTTGACCATCATTTGCTTCCAGGACTAGACGGTGGAACTCGGGTCTACTACAGACATGTTACAGGGAAAACGGGATGAGCCACTGTTCCGTATGTAAGAAGAACCGTGGTGTCATTTCCGACACCTATACACGGATTTTGTATGGGAAACTCCGACACGAAACCTTTCCAGATAGTTCACGACGGTGTCGCTTTATTTGTTAATAGGCGAAAGCAAATGCAGACGCCAGTCTAAATCCTTTTGTTGTGCGCCTCCTTCAATTCATGTCCCCATTTCGCCTGCATCTTCATCTATTGCACTTCGATAGATGGAGTCAGACTTCCTTCTTCGCTTGTATAGCTAAT